TCCGACCACGCTCTCACCACCACCGCCGCAAATGGGGAGCGTGTGTCGTCGCGTGGCGTCGCTTCACAACACGGGCGTTCTCCATCCCACGAGACGCCATTTCACACCGACCTCTACGTCATGCCTCTCGCCGGCTTCGACATGGTCCTAGGGACCCAGTGGTTGGCAACGTTGGGACCCATTGTTTGGGATTTCAGCACCCCAGATCTGTCTCCTTCGGCTCGAGGGCGCGAGCTATCTTTGGAGTGGTGATGCGCCAGGCCGACCACAACCAAAGTGCCCACGTCACCTGAACCATGATGTCTCTGCTTTGGATTTAAGCGCTCGAAAGCTTCTCGACCTCTTGCCGAGCCGAGAGTGGTGCGCCTCCTCCTGAGAGCGGCGACCACCACATCGTCCCTCTCCACCGGGTCCCGGCCGGTGGTCATGCGCCCATACCGCTACCCGACCACGCACAAGGATGAGCCGGAGCGGCGGCGCGGCGCCGCCATGCTTCCAGCAAGGGCTCATTCGGCGGAGCTCGTTGGCGTTCTTGTCCCTGGTCCTCCTCATCAAGAAAGCGGATGGCGGATGGCTCTCGGCGCACCGCGCCTCGAATGCCATCACGATCAAGGACGCCTTCCCGATCCCGATGGTCGATCGAGGCGCTCGATGAGCTACACGGCGCAAAATTCTTCACCAAGCTCGACCTCCATTCGGCTATCACAAGTCCGGATGGCGCTGAGATATCGCCCAAGGCGCTTTTCCCACGAGGGGTCGGTGAGTTCTGGTGATGCCGAGCCTCGCAGCGCCCCAACCACATTCCAGCGCTAATGAACGATGTCCTTCGCGCCTTCCTCCACCGGTTCGTCCTCGACCGACATTCCGATCTACGATGCGTCTGGGCGGATCACCTTCGCCACCTCGCGCGTCGTTCTCCGTCTCTGCGCCACCACCGCCTCGTCATCAAAGCGCGGTTGGCGACACCTCCATCGCCTACCTCGGCCACATCATCTCGGATTTGGCGTAGCCATGGATCCTGCAAAGGTGTAGGCGGTCCTCTCGGCCCTTGGCCCGCCGGTAGCGTGCATTGCGTGGGTTCCTAGGCCTCGTGAGCTACTACCGCAAATTCGCCCACAACTATGGCGCAATCGTGGCGCCTCTCACCAGCGCTCGGTCTTGGAGGCCACCGTTGTGGTGACATCTACGCCCGCGCGCTTACTTCGACTTCATCGACCGCCCGCCCGTCAAGCCGTTGAGTCGTGGATCCGGCTCGCGGTTTTGGCGGTGCTCATCTAGGACAAGCATCCCATCACGATGAGCCGCTGCTCGCCACCCCTCGCCGCGCCTATGAGCGGGAGCTCATTGGCCTCGTCCAGGATCCGCCATTGGCGCCCGTACGACTGGGGCCGCCGCTTCTCGCGGACCGATCATTCCGATCCGAGTATTTGTTCTTGCCACGATCCTGCGACATCATTGGGTCGGGAAGCTCGCGGGTTCGAATCCATGAGGAAGCGGGCACCCGAACACGGTCGTTGATCATGTTGTCTCGCCGCGACACCGAGGGACCGACGACGTCTTGGCGTTGTTTGCGCCATGTTCGACTTCATCGACCGCTTCGTAAAGCGCAACGTGGATCCACGTTCCCCAACGAGATGCGTCGCGTACCGCAGCGGCGCCTTGGGCCATTTGACAGCTTGGTCACCTCGCGGTCGCCTCTACATCGCCCGTCTTCGCTTCGGAGATCATCGCGCAATCCATGAGGGGGCCACGAGGGTCGAGCACCTCCTCCGCCGGCAGACTTCCCCAACATGCGCCAAAGACGTGCGGAGACTTTGTTCATGCCACTTGCCTGCGGTACAAGTCGAGCACCTCCACCCGGCAGACTCTTCGCACGCGGCGGTGTCGGCAAAGACATTGGGCTCGACATTGGGCTGGAAGCTTTGCCCAAAGTTCGGGCAAATCATCATCCTCTTTGTGGTGGATCGCTTGGCAAGTATTGTCACTTTATTCCTTTGGCTCATCCATACTCTGCAGAGTCCGTCGCTCGAGCTTTCTTCGCCGACATCGTCCGCCTCCATGGGATGCCGCAGTCCACGGTGTTCGATCGGGATCCCATCTTTACCTCGACGTTTTGGCGCGAGTTGATGCGCTCATGGGGGCGGTACCGACATGACGACGACCTTCCATCCACGATCGGATGGCTAAACCGAAATGCCAATCGCGTCATCACCATGTACCTTCATTTGTTTCACGGTGATCGCCTCGTCAATGGCTTAGGTGGCTCCCTTGGGCGAGTTCGTCTACAACACGGCTGCATTGCAGACCTCCCTCCGTGACACGCCCTTCCGCATTGTCTCGGCCGTGATCCCCGACCATCCGCTCTTATGAGCATCAGGGGAAACGCGGGTTGCTTCTTTGTGGCCAAGGCTATGGTCGAGCGCGAGGAGTTCCTCCGGGACGTTCGTTTCCTACCGAACAGCACAGCAGGCGGTCGAAGCGGCACTACGACAAGCAACACTGCTGCGGTGGCTTTACGCCGTGGGCGATTGGAGTCTTCTTTGCGCCTACGTCATCGCCCCATCGTGTCCCTTTCCGACACCGCAACAGGGAAGCTGAAGCCTCGCTTCTTCGGGCCATATCAGGTCACCGAGATCATCAACGCCGTCGCCGTTCGTGTTGCACTTCCGCCTTGGGCTAGGCTCCATGACGTCTTCCACGTCGGGCTCCTAAAAAATGGGCGGGTCTCCTTGGCAGCTCCTCCGCCGCTTCCGGCCATCCACAATGGCGCTTCTGGTTCCGAAGCCGGACAGCGTTGTCCGCTCGCTTCGCACGCACGCTGGCGCGCCAGTCCTCGTCCGTTGGAAGGGCGAGCCGAAAGCTTCTTCCGCTACTTGGAGGATGGGACTCCTTGGTAGCTGCTTTCAAACATTCCGGCTCTGGGACGAGCTGGTACAGAGGAGAGGAGAGATGTCATGTATGGCCGGACCTATACCAGGAGGCGCCGGGCCCGTGACATCAGGCGCGCGGCTGAGCGCACCCAGCGCGTCACGGACGCGGCCCAGGGGTTGGCCGAGCCTTCTAGTGGCTAATATAGGCAATAGTTGTTAGTATCCCTAAGATTTCTAGTGGCTAATATAGGCAATAGTTGTTAGTATCCCTAAGATTGAGGAGGGATTAGTTACTATTTTTATTCCATCAAGGATTATATATTTTTTCCTCATGAATGGCACCTTAGAGAATAAGAAAGATATAAACCAATTTGTCTTCTTCCTCCCAACTCTCAAGCTTAGGTCGCTGAGGGGTACAACCTCGCCCTAGAAGACGGATCACGACTACGAATTACGTGGCGAGGTCCGGCTACTCAAGGGTTTGACGCCCTTGACATGTGCTCCATTGCTGATCACAACTAATTTTGCAACAAAAAAGAAGTGCATAACAGGAAAAAAATGCTCAACTAGAACAAGCATTGCATCAAAGTACACATAACAGAAAAATTAATGTACAAAACAAGGAAGTTCCTGAAATTAATAAAAAAAAAAAAAAAACAGGTGGGGAATTTCCCCACCGAGCCCTCAAAAAAAAGGAAGTTCCTCAAAGCCACTGTAGTTACACCAGTGTGGACTGTGGAGGATAAGCTAGCCTGAGATGAAGCCATGAAGTTGGTTTTCAGCAGTGTTACCTGGACAACAGTGTCTTATATTTTTTTGCCAAGTCAGACAACCCTGCACCTGTGTCAGATTCCAACACCCATGTCGGATACCAAGTGCAATTTGGCGTGTCTCCAAAATATCTCGAATCAGACACCCACACCCGAAATGGACACCAACACCTACACGGTGTCCATGTAACCCTGGTTTTCAGACAGAAATGTGCAAAGAGATGGAATGGTATCCACCTACTACCGATTTGGTTCAAGATGGCTCATGGTTCAAGACAGAGGACACCACTGGCTTGACCTCAGGGAGCTGGTTCTCAGCACCAATACCAATTGAATCTTAACATATGTTATCATTAAGGCATTAATGGTTTTTTTAGACCAAAGAAAAGAGAAAACATTCAAAAGCTTTTCAGTGCAAGTTAATCACAGAAAATCAACAAACTATCACCGTGATGAAAGGTCACAAACCTTGCATTCCTCCTGAGCATTGCCTTCTGCAAAGGTTTCCTTTCTTTTATCTTTAGCACCCTTCAGAATCTCAAAAGTTGGTAGGGAACAATCAGGTGGCAGTAGAACAAAGGATTTACATAAAATAAAATAGATAAAAAATTATCAATTTATAAACCTTCCATTTACAGGGTTTTCGTTAAGAATGAATGTGTATACATATCATCATGCGAGTACAGTATAATAAAAAGTTGGTTCAATAGCTGTAAGTTTAAATCAAAGGCACTGCCAAGAATGGAGTTGCTCTAAGGGCATGTACAATGCAAGATGCTTAGACACAAGGTGCTTAGGGAGACAGAGCATTGTCATATCACTAAGCATTGGTATAGAAGTTCATTCCTACAATGCTAACAGGTTCTTAGATAAGCTTAAACCAATATGTTAACACACATTAAGCATTGATGCTAACTTAAGCATTTTATCCATCTTTTAAGAATCAGGTGCTAATGGTTGAAGAAAAAGGTTTTTTTCGAGCACCTCCATTGTACATGCTTCAATATATCCTCGCTGAGAGAACATGAATTAACATGTTTTCTGGGAATGCAGGATGTCACAATACACTAGATAGTTGATATAAGGCCCTCCATCCTAACAAAAGATGCTTAAGAACTAACTGTATGCACCCTGTGTCACACTGGCCTGTAGAAGACCAAGAAATTGCTAAAGGGATTGAATGCATAATCCCTAACCTTTTGGGTTGTGACATTTGTCTCAAATCTAACTTCATAAAATAAATTCCCTTTTCAGGTTCTTCACAAAATCTGCCAACATAAGATATGAGAATTTAAGTACCAAAACGTAATTACATCTACTAAGCAATCTCGAGCAGTATTCATAATATCCATGACATAACCTTTTCCTTTGGCTCTAGTTTCCCCCTTTTCATATCAATAACCTGCAACACGTAAAGACATATAGTTAAACGAAAAAGTGGAGTTCAACAAATGCGGAAGAAGTGTGGCCTTTTAAAGTTAGTAATGAAAGCAAAGCAACAGGCATTTCACTGGTTCATTAGCATGTACAGCGTGTTAGTCACTGAATTCTTACTCTTGGTAGTAGCAGAATTCTTACTCTCATCGAGAGAGGATGACCCTAGGAGTTGAGGCAATTTTACGGTTTATTTCTCACACAAATGTCATGCCACTGAGGGGTTGGGGATACATATTTATAGGCTGCTAGCCAGCCAATCATATGCCAAGATGCTAGTCTAAGATGCTAAGATGCTGTCCTCTAAGATGTTGTCCTCTAAGATGTCCTTGTATAAAGCATGAATGACAATGAGCCCCACAAAGACCAGACCATTGATTTATCCATCATGCTCCCCTAAGTCTTGTGTGTCGTCTTGTGGGAAAGTTGAACCATCCGGTCCTCGAGCAGAGCTCAAGGAACTTGATCCTCCCAAAGGGCTTGGTGAGCGGGTCCGCAAGTCTGGTCCTTGGTGTTGATGTAGCTTCGCCTTGATGCTCCCTTCCTCCAAATAGCCTTGGATGAAGTGGTACCTCACCCGGATGTGCTTGTTGCGTTTATGGAAGATGGGGTTCTTTGCGGGGCAGAGCGGACTTGTTGTCCACCCGAGCTCCACCGCTCTAGTCTCGCCGAGGAGATCACCAAGCGATCGAGCAGCCAGGGCGCTGAATCAAGCGGTGGAGGCCGCTATGTACTCGACCTCGCTTGGTGGACAGGCCACCACTGCCGCTTGACCGATCGCCCACTAACGAGGCACTTGCCGAGGAAGAAGAGGATCCCGCTTCGTGCTTTCTTCTTTGGTATCGATGTCGCCGGCGTGGTGTTGTCATTTGTACTTTCGACGAAGTGTGCCGCCCAGGGCACCTAGGGTAGTAGAGGCCGTGATCAAGTCCCATAGCGTAGCGGATGATCTTTTCACGACTGCTTTGGTGCTCCGTCGTCGGTCATTGCATGAATCGACTAACGAGCCGACGGAGAATGCCAAGTCCGGCCGCGCATGTGGGCGAGGTAGCGAAGGCTCCCACAAGACGCCGCAGATGCTGCGTGGCGTCCACCTCCTCCGTCGTCTTTGTCGCGGCTCAGCTTCAGCCTCTCCATCGGAGTGAGAACCGGGTTGCAGTCGGTGAGCCTAGCTAGCTCAACGACGCGCTTGGCGTAAGGGCGATGCGTCAAGCGTAATCCCGAGTCATCCCTGGTGCACCTCGATTCCCGGTGTAGAAGGAGAGAGGCCCCGGTCACTCATCCGGAAGGTGGCCTTCATCTCTTTCTTGAATACCGCCACCTCCGCATCTTTGGTGCCCGGTGATCGACAAGTCGTCGGCGTGAGACACCCACCAAAGTGAGCATTTCCTCCATTGCCCGTCCGCAGAGATGGCGGCCTCGTGCGTGCTTTGCTCGAAGCCCATCCCTTTAGCGTGGAATACAACTTGGCATTCCGCCCTCGTGCTCGCCGCAAGCCATAGAGGGCCTTGCGCAGAAGAGCACCTGCCCTCCTTTGGAGATCGCAAATCCGGCGGTGGTGCACGAGACCTCCTCCAAGTCGCCGTTAAGGAATGCCGACTTGGCGTCCATATGATGAACACGTCGGCCCTCCCGGGCGACTAGCTTGAAGGAGTCGCGACGGACTCCATCCGTGCCACGGAGCAAAGGCGTCGTCGAAGTCGACCCCCCCTGCGCACACGAAACCTCGTGCCACCAAGCGAGCCTTGTGCTTGATGATGGCGCCGGCTTCATCCCTCTTCACTTGTACACCCACTTAAGGGTGATCGCGCGGTGACCACGAGGAAGGTCGCCAAGCTCCTGTGTGCGATTCTTCTTGACCGCATCCTCCAATCGCATCGCGCGCGCCATGCCGCGTCTCTCGGCCTCTCGCAAACGACCGAGGCTCGCCGTCGTCACACGCAAGGTGCAAGCTCGCGCCTCCGGTCGTGAGGCATTTGGTCCCGCACCGGTGGTCGCCGAGAAGGTTCTCCATCGTGCGGTACCGCAGCGGCTCGCCGTCGTGAGTGCGCTGGCGTCGATCGCTCCTCATCGTGAGAGAGCGGAGTAGAGAGCTCAACCGGCCGTGCTCGACACGCAGTGGTGTTGGAGTAGACGTGCGGAGAGCCGCTGTCGTCGGTCTTGGAGTGCGTGGCGGTGCTTGCCGGTGTGGTGGAGCCAATGAAGGACTCATCGCGATCGAGGTCTGGTTGGAGAGCGTGGTGCTGCTCGAGAGAGTAGCAGCGCCGAGTCGATGGAGGCTCGGGGCTGGGGTAGACGCTTTCGCCGAAGAAGAGTTGCCTACTCCCCAGCTCCTCGAAGTGGGACGTACTTTCGACATTGAAGTCGTCGTGCGATGCGTCGGAGCCGAGCCGTCGTCCACCACCTTGTCCCACGCCCATCCTCGCTTTTCGCCGAACCGAACACCGCGGCGGCGCAGGCGCACACGCCTGTGTCTTCGGGACGAGGATGCGGTGAGGCCTTCGAGCCCTCCGCGTGAGCCGATGAACACTCTGGAGTGCTCGTCGTCGAGCTTCTTGATGTGGCCAAGCTCCTTGGCGAACGCGAGACAGCCGAAGACCCGCAAGTGGGAGACCGCCGCTTGCGCCAATGCCAAGCCTCGTGACGGCATCCGTCGTCGAGCGCCTTGGTAAAAGCGGTTGAGGATGTAGGCGGCCGACACCACCGCCTCTCCCGAAGGCGGCCGGCATCCCCTCGCTTGAGAAGGGCCCGAGCCATCCCCACAACCGTCTGGTTGCACCGCCGACGACGCCGTTCTGCTTTGTGGGTTGTCTGTGTAGAGAATCTGGCGTTGAATGCCCTCATCGGCAGTAGCCGACGCGAATTCACCGCCATGAATTCGCCGCCATTGTCGATCGATCAAGAAGACGCTGCGCGACTGCGGCCAGACTCCGCCTCCATGGCGACTGCGGCGCTGATGGCATCCGCACCTCTCCCTGCTTTGCCGAGGACCATCACCCACATGTAGCGGGGAGAGGTCGTCGACGGCCGGGCCACACAAGTCCCGTGCACAAGCTCGAGCCTCTCCTTGGCTCGAAAGCTCGCCCGCTGGGGAAAGGGGAGTCGCCTCTGCTTCGTCAACACGCAGATGTCGCAGAGCTGCTCCACATGGTCGAGGCACAACAGGCCTCGCACCATCTCCGTGGCACTGAGCCGCTTCAGGGCCTCGAAGTGAAGGTGCCTGAAACGCTCGTGCCACTGCCACGCCTCGTCGTCCCGACAAGCGGCCGAGACAGAGGGTTGTGCCACACCTGCACGTTAAGGGCGTGAAAGTCGATTTGCGCCACGGATACCTTGGCAAGAAGGCGGACGACGGCGATCCCAAATCCTCATTACTCCATCCTCAACCACCACGCGAACCGTTCTCATCCGGTGTCCCAAGGCGATGATGGAGTTCCTTAACACGGGATGTAGTAGACTCGGTGAGCGACTGTGCTCACCACAGACACGGCGGTGAAGATGGCGGAGCCGACGCGCCCTTGATCTCCGCCGGAGGCATCCCCAAACTTGAGCGGAGCCTCGGGACGCTAGAGTCAAGCTCGGTGAAGAACTCCGTCGACCGGTCATGTGATGGGTGGCGCCGGTGTAGGCACCACCCAACAATCTTGTCGTTCTTGGGAGGCCGTCGCCGAGGAGGCGTGTGCTTTTGGCTCGTCAAGGTGGAGGAGGGGCTGCTGCGGCCGGTGTTGCATTGGAGGTAGCTCGATGCTTGCATGTGCCATGAACAGAGCCGGCTCCTCACTTTGTCTGCGACGTGGGCCTAGCCTGCAGTGTCGTCTCGTCTTGCGGCTTGTACTGCTGTGGCCGCGCCGCCCTGGCGTCTCTGCGCAGGCATTTTGTGCGCTTTGCCACGCTTGCGGCCGCTTTGTCGCGGAAGAAGGCTCCCCTTCTTCCGGTCACCTTATTTGGCAAGCCACTTTGCCTCCCCAGTGAGAAAGCTTCCCGCCCGGTGGTGATGGGCCCCGAGAGGGGCAGGTGGCTCATCATTGTCGGCGACCTTGAGGCGACCTATCACCTCATCGATCGACATCGTGGAGAGATCCAGCGAGAGACTCGATCAAGCGAGCCATCCGCTTGTACTTCTCGGGACACAGCGGAAGAGCTTTTCGACGACTCTCTCCTCATGAGAGGTGTCATCGCGAATCGCACCATCTTACGCAGTGAGTGTTGAGGCGGAGAGCAAAGTCATCAACGTCCTCACCGGCTTGAAGGCCAAGTTCTCCCACTCCTTGCGAAGTACTGCGGTGTGGACTTACGGGCGCGGTGGCCGCCGCTGCCGTCGTCGTGCTTGATGATGGCGTCCCAAGCCTCCTTAGCGATCCGCTTGTTGGTAGCGAGAAGCGCATCTCGGGCGGGACTACGGCGATGAGGGCATCCAGCGCCCGTCGATCTAGGTCGTAGTCGGCGTCGCCGCACCGGACCGCCTCCCACATGTGCTAGACACGGAGCTTTACCCTCATCACCCTGACCCCACTCGGCGTAGTTGGTCTTGGTGAGGTAGGCCACCCACCGCCGGGACCGGCGTCCCCGACAATAGCTCGGAGCCCGTGGTAACCACGGTGCCGATCCGGGAGAGAGCCACGCCGCGCACGTGAAGGCCGCGCTCTCCATCGACCCGTCGGTACCGATCCGGGAAGAGAGCCACGCTGCCTGTGAAGGCCGTGCTCACGGTTGTCGTGCGCGCCTCCTCCAGGAGCGCCACCGCGCGTCGCGCCTTCTCTCCAGAGCGCGCCGGCGTGCGCCTCCTCCAGGAGCGCCACCGCCGTGCGCACCTTCTCCAGGAGCGCCGCCGGTGCGTCCGCGACTGTCTGGCTGCCCCGCTCGCTTCGTGGGCGTCTTGTTGCCGCCGCGCCTTCGCGCCGCCCGCGCTTCATGGCCGCCTCCCTTCCGGCAAAGCTCGAGGTCCGCGTCGGCGTGTCGTTAGCGTAAGCAGAGCAGGCGATCTTTTGCGCGTGAAACCTCGACCTCTGCTTGCCGCCGCCGCCGCCGCTTCCGCCTCGCTCTGCTGCTACCGGCACGCCATTGCCGACCTCGGCGCCATTGCTGCCGCCGCCGCGGTGGTCTCTCTTGCCGCTTGCTCGCGTTCTCTGCTGGCGGCAAGTTGGCCTCCCGCCGACGCCAGCGTGCTCGAGGCGACCGAAGGCCGAGATCGCCTCTGCGGACATGACGCGCACGGGGGCTGCGTGGGGAGAGGGCTGCTTCAGACGCAGAGGGGGAGGGGTGAGCGAGAGAGCGGCCGAGGCGCCGCTCTCGGTGAAAATTGTTGTGTGGCTGGGAAAGAAGATGAACAGGAGATGCTCAGGCTACAGGATAATACGGCTCCGATACCAGTTGTTAGTCGTTGAATTCTTAATCTTGGTAGTAGCAGAATTCTTACTCTGATCGAAAGAGGATGACACTAGAAGTTGGGGCAATTTTCTGGTTTATTTCTCACACAAATGCCATGCCAACCTGAAGGGTTGGGGATACATATTTATAGACTGCTAGCCTGCCAAGATGCTAGTCTAGGATGCTAAGATGATGTCCTCTAAGATGTTGTCTTCTAAGATGTTGTCCTAAATGCTAAGATGCTATCCTTATGGCAGCAACAGCCAGCAGCCCCACAAAGACCAGACCAGTCAGACTTATCCATCACAGCGCAATAATGCTGGTAAAGAACACAGCTCACAAAGATCGAGAACTTAATCATTAAATTAATATGCTAAAAGAAAATACTGACTTCATATGACATCTTCCTATGATTTTCTGAGCTAGATAAGCTCCCCTTGTCATCAAAGCCCTACAGAAAAATCCAGCATTTTAAAATTCTACAACACAAACTCAAAAAGGCAAAAGAATAACTATCGACTAGTAAATCAATAACAAGTCCAAGAACTGACGAATCAATAAGTTTGATACATGACTACACAAAAATGATTGCATCCTATGTTTTCAATAGCAATAGACTCAGACATGCCTATGCAGTTGCTTGAAAGCAAGCCCATACATTATTTGTCACAAGGAAAACAAAAACAAAAGAAAATTGGAGGAAGTTGGCATCATTTGTCATACAATGCTGATAATCCCAAACCTGGACATTTCATTGGGCAAAGTGGGGATAGATGCCTATTAACTTGGAATGCACCCACTGCATTGACTCTTTGTCATAGTTTTCAAGGCGTCGCCTAGGCGACGCCTAGGCGTCCAGGCGTATCCAGCTCGCCTGGGAAACAGTGGCGCCTTGTGGCCTAGGCGTCGCCTAGGCACCGCCTAGGCGCCAGGCGTACCAAGCACTCGCCTGGACGCCTAACCGCCTTTTAAACTATGCTCTTTGTTTCTTTATCTTTTCACAACGTCGTGTACAAAGCAAAGGGGTTAACTCACCATGGAATCCGAAATGTATGGAACAAGGCCTTCGTATTCTTCTCTAGGAGCCTGGTTGAAAATTAAATAGATAATAAGAAAGAACAATCAAAGTTTATTCAAAGGCTAGAAATGTAGAATTATAAATGCAGATATGGCCAGTTTATTACAAAGAACTATGATCATCAAAGTGGATACTGAACATGTCACTGATCATCAGCGCATTGTTTGACAAACATCCATGAAAATTTCAAAATATAAACCTTGAACCTTACAAAAGTGGACTATAATTTGTATCTACAAGTTATAACTCCAATTATGGCCATGCAGCACTGACCACGAAGCGCATAAACTGTTTCAGATGCTCAATAAGCATATTATAATTAGAAGATTAAAACAAAAACATACCAAACAATAACCTATAGGATACAACCCAAGTCCCAAGCATATAAGAAATATAACAGGAAATAAGAGAGAAATTATCAGTGGGAAAGTAGCAATGACCACATTTTTGTGAACATTTGTTTTAAAGTCAGGTTAGGTTATATTGAATTTGTTGGCAATTCTTGAAACAAGTAAAATGTCCATAAATTGTTGGTAATTCATAGTTTGGGATTTGGTTGACGAATTAGTATATCACATACTTTAACTCATGGTTTGATTCCCTAGCAATTCATGAGTCTCAAACAGTCCCTACAATACTACCCTGTGAAGATAGAACCAGAACAGCTACTTAGGAGAATACCAAATAATCGATGAAGGCAGCATGGAACAAGGCATCTTAAATTAAAGAAAACACAGAAAAATATTTAACAGGCGACCACATGTAGGCTCAGTGCTATTACACTTCATTTGCATAGAATCAATCCTACTTTTCACTTGTCTGTAATGAATTGGCTCAATAGTTTATAGTCTGGTCCTTCTACTTAGTTTTTGTGTAGTGGCGCTGCTTAGTTAGATCTTGGTTAACTGCTCTGTAAGTGTCCCTCTGTACCCCCCCTTTTGTTTTAATATATTTGGTGCTTTGCTGGGGAGCTTTTGCTCCACAGTTTCTTTTGAAAAAAAAAGAATAAGTGGAAAACCAGAAACCAGTAGTCAATGACACATTCAAAGAATTGGAAACATTATTAAAAAATCTCTCACGGCATCAGGCTACCAAAAAAACATGTTCATCAAGCAGATATCCAATTTGAGTTACAAAATGTTTTCTTATTCCGGTACAATCAGCAATTTCATTTTGTTTTTCTTTCACGAGGGGGAGGGGGGAGGTGTGGCGCTGAAGACAATTTAAGTGGATGATACTCATAGTAGTATGGTAGGTTGTAAAGGGAGATAAGGACACTAGGTCCAAGGCTAGCCTGTACATCTTCAAATGAAAGAACATATATGAAGACCCTGTGTTTCTTCAGATCGAATGCAGTAATGGTGTGTTCCATGCCCTGAGATCGTCATCCGAAAACATGGACCAGGGATGTGAAGACCTTGTGTTTCTTCAGAGCGAATGCAATGGTGGCGTGGAGTTTCAATTCCTGAGATCATCATCCCAAAACGTGGATCAGGGATGAAGCGAGTCAATGCCTGGGTCGATGCTTGGGAAGGCAGTTGGGACGTTGACGTGATGACAGCCAGGACATTAGGAGCTATGAGGGCAAGTGGGTTGGTGAAGTTGACAAGGCTGCCAATGCAGAAGCCGAAGACAACCATTGCCATGGCAGCGCAACAGCAGTGGCAGCCATTTCAGAGGTCAAGAGCTAGTACCAAAGGAATGAGGACAGAGGTGACTGATTTTGCCGTTCTCTGGTGCTAGATGATGGCTGGTGGCAAGAGATTTCAGGCAGCGGAGACAGTGCGCTTCAGGTAAAGGAGAGAGAACCGAGGGAAGAGAGGTGGTGGCGGCTTGTTGGGTCTACATGTGGAGGAGTCAAGGCTCAGGATTAGGGCCGTTTTTTTGGGCTGAATGGGCCAGGAAATGAAAGCTCAATAGTGGTGTTGCAGTAAACGGCTGTAGTCTGTTTACATGCCGTTTAAACGCTACATGCTGACCAGTTGTTCCGTTTAATCGGCCGTTTATCCTGTTTAATTGACCATGTAGCCCGTTTAACTAGCCATGTAGCCCAAATAAAAACACTAAACAATAGGTGTCCAACTGCGTTTTCGAGAAAAATAGGTGTCCAACTGTGTACCATTTAGTGTTTAGGTGAACATTGCTCAATAGTTCGTCTATCCTTCAGTGCCTTTCAGGCTTTCCCATACTTTTATTTCATTATTTTAAAGCTGTGATGCAATAAAGAACTACTTAATTGTTGTATCCATGATTAACTGAGGAATGAGGATCGTTCAGGACTACGGTCCCAAAAGTAATTGGTTCACGTTACAAGCATCCCAAAGAGATACTCCCCCCTCGAACCAGGAATTTGGAAGGTCTCAATCCATGTCAGTACCCATTCCTCAACCCCCATCATACCAGGAACCTCGTCGCACTGGCTGTGCTCAGATTTCAGGACTAGAAGCCTTTTCATATCAGTTTGTTTGTTACAGATTCAACTGAACTATCTTCAATTAAAAGGAAAAGAACTATGGTGCACAAGACAACAAAATGGCATAGCACGTCCAAACATCACATTGGACCAATGCCAAAGAATCCAGAGACAAAATCAAAGCACAATTATGCCAATTGGGCAATTACTCAACTTTTTGAGATGAATTGTGACCTGGCTGAACTTGGGGGTAAGAACAAAGGAAGGTGGTACAAAAGATTTTGTATCCTATTCCAGGCACTTGTTTATCACACTAAGTGATGAGTGTACATCGTGTGAGTTCAATACTGGTTATTATACATCAGAATTGAATGAATGGGTGGAAAATCTAGCCTCTAAGTGCAAGGATATAGTACAAGCATATGCATATCACTAAAACACCTTCATATAAGCTGCAAAAATGGAATTAACGATGCATTGGCCAATATATAAAACCCAGCATCCAACCTGATCTCTAAACAACATAAAGAAGTCGAATTAGAAATGCATTCAGATGCCTCGAGCAGGGGAGTAACTTCCTTGACTTGAGGCAAACATGGGCAGTACACTCCCCCTCACCTTTGTAACGTCCATTATGTTCCTGGCTCGACAGGGGTCGAGAAACCGGGTCGAGGACACTACTTGCTAGAGGTTTTTACAAGGCAGGATCGAAAATGACCCTGCGTACCCGGGTCTGGGTCGACGTTTTGGGTCAAGTATGCTTGAAAGTTTAAACTATGTAGCCCTTTCCTTCTTAGGGCATGTTCGGATTGTCCCCTTAGTTTGCCACACCGTAGTTGCGGCAAGCCAAAAATACAGAGAGCGTTTTGTTCGCCAGAGATTTGGCACAGATTGCTGCTAAAAGCAGAAGGAAAATCTGTGGTGTGCCAGACTTATGGCGGCGAGCTTAGAAAAGCCATCCAAACACAAAGCGAAGCTTTTGTAGCAACCTGTGGTCAGTTGTGGAAGCAATCCAGACCCTTAATCCATTGAATTTTTTGTTCTGTCTGACCTGTGCCGAGTTTACTGCTAAGCTCAGCCACTGTCGTCAAGGAACAACTACATGGGTACAGCATACTCTAACTGACTCCCTAACCGGCCTGCATTCACCCACTCCCGACATAACAACCAAACCACAAAAAATCGTGCATTCGCAACAAGCACAAGAAAATACAAGTCTCCATTCAGACGTCTTCCACAGTATGAGGGAGTTGCCAAATTTAGATAAACATGCACGCACAAAAAGCAGCAGGAACACATCACACATGCAGCAGCAAGAGTAGAAGGGCCAGTCACCTGATCATCATCAGGAGACGACGCTTTATTGCTGCTGCTGTTGCTCCCACTGCCTCTCACCTGCATACACATCCGCGAGGGTCACAACCACACGGAGCAAACAAAATTTGCCTACTTTCTAAGTACCCTTGCCACAAGCACAAACGACCAAACCCCAACTCGCCATCACAAGAACCACACCAACCCCCAGAAAAAAAAAACCAAAAATCCCACCGAAAACAGGAAAAAGAGCTTTATTACTAGGCCAGCCCAAATCCAAGGCACCGGCACATACCCTACTACTCTTCTTCTTCCTCGCAGGGTGGTTGAACTTGCACTTGATCCCGAAGCGGCAGGTGCCAAACTTGAGGTAGTAGCTGCAGTCCGGCTCTCCGGGCCGGCGCGGGAACCGCACCTTCACATCCACTGCCCCCGTCGGCGCCGGCGCCTTCTCGTCGGCACCCTCATCACCGCCGACAAGGACGGCGGCTGTGATGGGGACTGGTACGGGGCCATCGTCCCAGCCCGATGGCTCGGGGAACCCGCCCCCGTTGCCGGCGACGGCGATGCCCAGGCCGGCGAGCTGCTTCTCGATCGCGTCTGCGTCGGCCGCGTCCCCGGCGCGTACGGAGGAGGGGGAGATCGAGGGAACCGGGGACGCCGCGGCATCGGGGGACGGGGGCTTGGCGTCGGCGTCCGCCATTGGAGCCGGTGAGAGAGGAGAGGGGTGGTGATGGCGACGGTGATGGGGACGAGTGAGAGCAGGTGGGGAAGCAAAGCGAGGTGGGGGAAAAAACCCTAGAGAGAGAGGAGTCTCGGACCGGGGACTGGGAGCGCGTCGGGGAGAGGTAAAACCTCTTTTACAGCGCCCTGTGTATATCTGAAAATACCCGCTATGAGTTTCGGTACTTGCACTTTCAGAGCTACCTGCACTCATAGGAAGTGGCCCCCCAAGTTGGTTTTGATATTTTGAGTACACCCGAGTAGTGAGGAGTAGGTGTAAAAGCCCAGGAATGGGGAGCGGAGTAGCGCGCATGTGACGGAAGCCCAGTGCGTCTGACTAGCGTGCGACTGCTACCGCTGGGCCCACGCGGCAGTCAAATGAGGGGGAGACCGGAAGGGGGACGGTGGGAGACTTGCGGCCGTTGCTAACATTTTTCTGGCTGATCTGGTACGGGTGAGAAATATTATTCTGATTAAAAAAATAAATTGAAAAATATGGATTATAACAAGCGAACAGGGTCTCGAAATCAGAGTCTAAAATGATATATGAACGGATTTTGAAATGGCGTCTAGAATTTAATAAAAACGAGGAAAAAAGTATGAGAGTTCAAACACCGTGACTTGTATCCACCGGTGATTTGCGCGCGTCCTTGTGGAGTAATCATCAAAGTATAAATATATATATATATATATATATATATATATATATATATATACTCTGCAGCTACAAATAACTTATTTTGTAGCCACTTTAAGTTACGATAATTATTATGCTAATTTACATGATTATTGTAACTCATTACTAATTGGTTTACTATAATGTTACGGTAAATATCCCCATATGTTATAGTAACATAATTATCGTAAATATATATTTACTTTATCGTAAATTAAGTATAAAAATTATCGTAAATGGAGGTGGCTACAGAATAACTTATTCTATAGCTGGTTACCGAATATATATATATATATACACACACGCCATACATCATTTAAACATGACACGAGCCGGTTCCCGATAGTTATCCAGGTTGTACATAATTATACACAAAAGATCTTCGCCCCGTTCGACTGGGAGCGGCTGGCTGGCTGGGCTGGCCAGCCCTCTCACAGAAATACTGTTCACATGAACCAGTCAGCAGTACTTCTCTTACATAAACGAACCAGCAACGATACGAATCAGCCAACCGAATAGGCTGCTTAGGGATAAGTCGCCAATAAGACATGGTTTCTGAGATGGTCCACTAGTACACTACAGACTTCTCTTGGCATCACACTTTTTTACTGACGGTTGGGAAAAAGGTGGCGCCGGTAGAAAGAAATATATGGGCCAGCACAAAAGACCATATGTGTAAAAGAATTTACAATGACGGTTCCTATAATAAACCGCTAGTGCTAACGGTCTATTTACACTGGCGGTTGCATTACCTAACCACCGCCATTTACACTGGCAGCTTGCTTACGTAAACGGCCATGGTAAATGAACATTTATACCGACGGTTCTCTTATGTGGTTATCATTTAGAGACATTTGCTATAAATGCTACTTCTTCCTCCCTCGATCAGCACTGTTCAGCCGAGCCACCTTCCATTGGTGGCGAACTTGGAGCTCCAAAAATCGCAAAATACAAGGTGGGAGGTTTTGCTCTTCATTTCTTTGGAGGAAGTGGCTTAAGAAGGTTAGTTAATGCCTCTCATAGCTCTTTTTGCATTAGTGCTTCTCACTTTGAGCTAAAACTAGATCTAGCTAGAGAGAGATAAATGCTTGTGTTTTTGAGAGAGAGAGAGAATGGTAGTAGATTTTTATTTAGGGTTTTAATGCATGGTGTCTTAGAAGGTTTGGATTAGTAGTGCGCCTCTCATAGTTGATTTTTCATTATAAATTTGATTCAAAATTAGACCTAGGGTTTTATGGGGAGAGAGAGAAATGGTAGTATTATAGAGAGATAATTGGTATTATCTCATGAATCATGGTTGTCATAAATAATGTGGGAGTTAAAATATGTTATCAAAAAATATTAAATATTGTTAAAAGTACATCTAGCTAGAGAAATATTGTTTAAAAAATTAAACAATCTAGTTTATTCACTAAACTATATTTTTTGAAATTACAATAATTTTTAGTTTATTCAAATAATTACAATAACTTTAATTTTAATCAAATAATTTTAAATATACCCATTTAATTACACATTACTATTATAATTTTTGTACAGCTGAAGATGGAAAGATCGTTATAGATGTACAGCTTATCAAGATTAGACCCGTCGTACCGTTTGGAGGTTCGTAAGTTTATTGTTGCCGCTAGGACGCATGCATACAAACAGAAGACGAAGTGCATATGTTGTCCGTGCATTGAATGCAAAAATGTTGCTGTATTTGAGGATGCAGAAGAAATCAGTTCTCATTTGGTTCGCCGAGGTTTTATGAAGGATTACTTAATTCGGATGAAACATGGAGAGGGTAGTTCCGCGCCTTCTATAGAAGCCAACCCAGTGCATGCAAATGGACTGAATATGGATGACGGGACACAACACTGGAGGCCCTAGACTGATCCTGTTATGGCGGATCTTAGTGATGATGATGTCGGCATCCAAAATGCGTGTGAAGACGTCAACGAAGTTCAAGTCGATGAAAGTGAACAAACAGAGTTTTCGAGGCATTATTGCACCGTTATTCCAATCCTTCTATGTGACTTATCAAAGGAATGGAGGCCTTAAAGAAGGCAGCAACAGAGCATTTGTACGAAGAGTCTAAGGGTTGTACCGATGAATTCACCACACTCAGAGCTGTCCTTCAGTTTTTATGCTAAAATCTCGGTATGGCTAGTCTGATGCTAGCTTCAATGAGTTTTTACGTGTTCTTGCAAAACTCCTTCCAAAGGGGAACAAAGTGCCTGCTAACACATACTATGCAAAGAAGCTAATCAGTCCACTGACTATGGGTGTTGAAAAGATCGACACGTGTAGGAATCATTGTATCCTATATCGAGGTGATTACAAAGATTTAAGAGTTGTCCGAATTGTGGTGCGAATAGGTACAAGACAAATAAAGACTATCGGGAGGAAGAGAATGGAGCTTACGTAAAGACAAAGAAGAAGCAAAAGAAGACCCAAAAGAATACCAAAGAGAGTTAAAAAAACCACTAGCAATGAAGAAGTAGACTATTACGCACAGAGAAGGATTTCTGCTTTGGTGATGTGGTACCTCCCCGTGGTTGATCAGTTGAGGTGTTTGTTGGCAAACCCTAAGGATGCAGAACTTACGTGCTAGCATGCTTCTGATGAGCTCAAACATGATGGAAACTTCAACATCCATCCGATGCCAAGCAGTGGTAAAATTTCAATCACACATACAAGGAATTTGTTGATGAACCAAGGAACATAAGGTTCGCGCTGAGTACCGATGGAATGAATCCATTTCCGGAGATGAGCAGCAAGCACAACACATGGCCGGTGATCCTGACCATATACAACCTTCCTCCATGGCTGTGCTAGAAGCAAAAATACCTGTCGGGAACCTAATACTGGGGTACCCAAGGAGATGGAACTAAATAACCATCGAACGCTAAAAACTCCCGAACGGACAAGAGCACCGCTGTGCTTCTTGCCCGAACGATGGGAGTTTTGGTTCCGCCTCGCCCGATGCCCATTAGCCAGCTCCGCCTCCCCCGACGGCTGGGGAATGGCTCCACCTCGCCCGAGGGCTGAGGGCTAGACTCTGCCTCACCCAAGGCCCGTCAGTCGGCTCCACCTCCCCCGATGGCTGGGGGGCGGCTTCGCCTCGCCCGAGGGCTGAGGGCTAGACTCTGCCTCACCCGACCCCCGAGGGCTAAGCTCAGTCTCGCCTGACCCCCGAAGGCTGGGCTCCGTCTCGCCCGACCCCCAAAGGCTAGGTTTTGCCTCGCCTGACAACTGCACCCCGCTCCCTCATGATGATAGGCATAGGGTAAGACAAGACGTTCGGGTCAACCATGGCACCAAAAGACCATGTCCTGTGCCCCTATAGGAAAGTACCGTCAGGACATGATAGGACGAGTGCTTAGACCCTTCCAGGTGTAACAGAGCCTGAACAGTGTTGTAGGCGCCGCGTTCAAACCACTAGGCGAAGAACCCGACATGGACATACGACAACCACTACGCTCCAAGGAGAGACTCCCGTCCTCAACAATGGCAGAACAAGCAGTCACCGCGACATCCGCTCCCTACGGGGTCGGGGTTCAGCAACCCTATCTGACACGCCACCTGTAGGGGTGGGATGGGACACACCCACTTGCTAAAAGAGGCCAGGGCATGGCCTACGAAGATCAGCAAACACACCACTTCTGACACTATCTACCATGTTATACAGGGCAGGCGTTGGGAAAAAGGAAGACCCGAATCCTTCAAAGGACCTTCTATACCCTTGGTATTTTCCTTTTTCTCTCATCTGTAACCTCTGCTCCCCCCTTGTCTATAAAAGGGAGGGTAGGGCTCCCCAATAGAGGGACCGAGTTAGAACGGACAACTCACATACACAGCCAAGCCGCCACCGGGCTCTTGGTCTACTTTCGACCCTTCCATCAGAGACCTGGGACCAGTCCCTCTCTACCCCCTACTATGAACCGCTTTCATCGCTAATAACACGAGTAGCAACAGACTGGACGTAGGGACATTCGGCCCGAACCAGTATAAACCTTGTGTCCTTTAGCTCACTATCCAGGCCTAACACGGATAATTATAAATTTACTAGCTGGTGCTTGTTCAAAACACCGACAGTTGGTGCGCCAGGTAGGGGCCTTTGCGCGCTCCAAGCCAGGCCTCGGATGGCTAACCACAACGTCAGCTGGGTCCCAGGCGCACATGTGTGCTTCGGGAGCCTAGATTTCATCCTCACGGTGGGAGGAGAGTTGGTACGGGCACAGACCGCCATCCAATCTCTCCCCTCCATCGTTCTTGACCACAAGAAGTTTGGGTGCCAGCTCGACATCTCCCTTGGACCC